TCTTTTTTATTTGTTCACTCACCTTTTATATTTTGTTTACTCTGCTAAAAGTTTGTTTTTCTTTTTTTTTCTTCACCAAATCTACTTAGTCGCAGCATATTGCATCGTTGGATGAGCGAAACAAGTTTCCTATTCGTCTGTTTCTTTTGAGGGGGTAATTCAATCTTTTTGAATGTTTAAAAGGTTTTTTAATGAAAATTTGTTGGCTCAACGGATGTCTACTGAAATGAATTTCTGATGTTTCAAAAAAATTGTCGGCTTAATTTTTGTCTGCTTATGTGTTGCCGGCTTAGTTGCCAAGTCGTAGAATCGTTTTTTGCTGTATGCAGGAAACATTTAGTTTCTTGAAGTGTTTTGATTTTCTGCTGCTTGTAATTTTACTAACCTGGACTTCGTATATGTTCTCTTTTTGTTTTTTTCTCTTGAAAATATTCTGCCCAAATGATTTCGTCCTGTAATTTATCGGCTTTGTAGCTTTATTTTGTGTTTTTAATGATCGAAGAAATTTTAAGGCAAGTCTGTTGGTTTTTTGAGGGGAAGAGGGTTTTTTGAGTAACCTAGCCTTATTCATTTTGATACATCAAGTTTTTTCAGCGGCCCTTACTTTTTGGGCTGTTTTGAGTTTTTTCACATTTTCCCTTATTTATCGCAAGCGTTTTATTGTTTTGCTTTAAAAAAGTGAAATTTAATCAAGACAAAGATTTTAAAAGTTCTGTAGAATTAGCTTTTCTCAACATTTGCAAGTCTTCTTTTGCGACTTAGCGGCTTTCGTCTCATTTTCGGTCCTCTAGTTTGTAATGTTCTGTTTTTAGTGTTTCAGAAATAGTGCGATGCTCTGCGTAGACTCTGTGTTTGAAGCTCTTTCAGTCGTGATTCAAACTACCTAAAATGTTCCCTAAGTTGTCCCAGTTTGTGAACTGGTTCAAAATTAGAGAGTTTTAATTTAATTTCGAGCGGGCAAAGCGAGTGAGAAGGCTTACTATAGAGATGAAAGCCGCGAAATTTTCATTCAAGCCCTGATTTTAGTTCAATTTTAGTTTCACTTCAGTAAAGTTAGTTTTTAACCATCTTTGGATTCTTTTTTGCAAAAAGTTCTTGATTTTTTAAATTCAAACCATTTTAATGCTGTATTTTTTTTACCTGATTATGACCGACTCGATGATAATGGATCAACTGTGGTATCATCTTAAAGCACTTTCAGTTGTAATTTTTATTTTTTGCTTTATAATCTCTCATGGCAGTTTTGCTCCTGATTTTATAGCTACTTTTTCGGTTCATAATTGTTCGAAACATGATTTTCCTTGTGCAGTATTTCTGGGGCTTTTTCATTGTTATATGCGATTTAAACTATATCATACTATGAAAAAATGTTTTGATTTTTGTAGACTGTTGGTCGATTTTTATCATTTTAAAGCCATTTCACTTGTGATTCGGGTTTCTCGTGGTTCTGATTTGCAATTGGAGGTTTTTCAACTTATTTTTCTTCCGCTTCACTAACCGATAAAAGTTTTTCAAAATGAGAAACTATTTTTTGTTGTTTTTGATCTAAATTTTTTTGGGAATGAAAGTCGTTTTTTTTTACTTCATACTTATTCGAAAATTGATTTTTTTCTGGTGCTGTGTTTATGATCTGGTATTTTTCCATTGTTTCCGATGCTTTTTCTTCATACCATGTTTAGGAAACTTCATTTCTCGCACGTTATAACGTGAGTCAGTTTTTTATCTGAATCTTTTTTGTTGAAATGTTTTTCTCTTTATTCTAGTGACTAGTAAGCGTTATAAAGTCGGAGTATAGCCTTTTTTCAATTTGCAAATCGCTTAAGAAAATGACTCGAATCATTTGAAAGCTTGATTTTTAATAAATCCGAATTCCTTAGCTACTCCGGTACACTTAGCCGAGTGTTAAATACCATGCCTAGGACGCAAAGGTTCTATGTGCGAATCCAGCTAGAACCTTCTTGTTCCAAAAAATAATCGATTATTGTCTGTCTGTCTAAGTTTTGTCGGCAATGTTGACAAATCACGGACTGCTTTTGTGCTGGAAGCAGTTTCCTTATAATTGATTGGGTCTTTGAATTTTTCATGTATTTTGAAAATAGAATAACCCCTGTCATTGTATAACTTTTCCTCAAATTGAACATCGTTCATCGCTTTATCAACTTAAAGGCTTTTTAAGCATAGTGAGTTTCGTTTCTTTTTTTTGTTGCTAGCGGAATGCTAATTTTGTGTTGGTCGAAATGGTGCGAACCTCCGTTTCGCCTATGCGTTAATTTAATTTATGTTGGCTCTTAAATGACGTTTCTCTTTTTTTTCAAGACCCCAGATAATTCCTTTTGACGTTATCTGGGCAAGATTACCGCCTGCCGAGTTATGAGATTACCACCTGCTGTTTCAAAATTAAAGGTAGAAATATAAATGAATTTGCTTGCAAAACCAGTCATTGATCTTCAGCATTTTTGTTCCGACCACGTACTGGAAGGAACTGTGTATGCGGGTTGTTTTTTGCAAAATTAGGTACCAAAAATATACGTCTAATGAGGCCAAGTCATGTAGTTTATCTATGCACATCAGTATCGAATAAATATCTCGGTGATGAGAAAATTGATAGGTATTTTTTGGGTTTCAGATTGATGACATTTATCTCATGCCAGCTTAATTAATCAAAAGACGACGTGACTTAAGTAACTAAAGAACCTTAAATAGTGTTTAGCCCTAAAATTGATACATTAACTAGTTCTTGGAGCTTAGTTCAGTAATTATTCTCTCAAGAAGAATTTTTTCAATTTTGTCATGCTAGCTTAGCTGGAACTTTATTTGTCGCTTGCATAGCAACAGATTTTTCTTGTCAACAGATTTTTCTTGTCATTTTTTAGGAAATAGTGAAGTTAGCTTTTTTCAATATTTTGCTTTATTTCCTATATAAAAACACTACGTTGAAAATGACTGGCAGTCATTGACGTTTCGTGTGGCCTTTTTTTTGCTGTTTGATAGTGAGGTTTGCCGTTTTTGGAATATCGCTCAGCAAAAGTTAAATGGTCTCGAGAAACGTGAATGACTTCCAGTTTCAAAAATGGACTTCCATGTTCTGAATTTCCAGTGAAATGAAAAATTACCAATGGTCCAGTTTTTTTTGAATAGGATGTTTACAAAAAAAAGTGCAGATATATGATTTTACGTTTTTTAACCTTCTGTTGTATATGATCATTCTTTGAGATTTTGTCGATACAATTTTTTTTGAAGTCGATGAACGTCTATAGTGGATAAACGTATATATAGGTCGCGATGTTTTTTTTTGCTTTTTTATAGGTCGCGATGGTTTTTTTTTCAGGAAACTTCTTAAAATTTCATATAGTTAGCAATGTTTTTTCCGCTGTATATCTCGATGTTTTTTTTGTTTTTTTTTAAAGAAAGGTCTTAAAATTTGTTCAGGCTCACATTTACTTTTTTGCGGTTTGACTTCTGATTTATTTTTAAATCCCCTTCATTTCCTTTGTTAAAAGGAAGGCAAACTCCACTATCGAACAGTGAAAGCGTTAAGGTCACGAAAACATGATCGACTTCTAGTATCGAAAGTGGAATTTAATTTTCAGATTTCCCAAAAAAAATAAAAATTTTACTTATTGATCCAGTTTTCTCAAATTGAGCTAACTTTGTCATAAAAGTGTCAATCATGAATTGTTCTAGAATTTGCACCAGCTGTTTGTTTTTTCCGGGTTGTTTTTCTGTGTTAAGAATATAAGGATCTGAAACTAGTACATGTTTTTTCGTTTCATTTTTTGTTTAATGTAATAGTGTATCTGATTTTGTTAAGTGAAATTAATTCTTCTTCTTCTTCTAAATAAAAAAGCGTTGGTTGATGCCCTCGTCTTTTGTTACAGTTGCATTCATTTCGTTTTTTTTTCATATATTTTAAATTTCAGCAATGTTTACGTAAAGTAATCTGTTTGCAGCACCAAAGGTGCGTTACTCGCTAGTTATGTTTCAAATAAAGAATAGTTCAGGAAAGGTGTTGTGGCCTAAATTTACCACCTTGAGTTTTCAATGCAATGAATGGTTGCTTCAAGTCTGCTTTCATTTTTGGTTAAATCAGCCAGTATTTGTGGGGTTTCAACTACTAATTGCCGATGTATTATCACCAGAGTTTATAAATCATTTCAGTTCGAAAGAGAATCTCGATTACTACCCCTCTACAGTGTTGCAATATCCTTTATAGAGTTTGAAATCGGTTACTAGGTATCTTTAAGGGAGATAGCTGGCAAGATTTTAAGATAATCTTATACTGGTATTTACATAATTCAGGCTACATGTAAAGAATAGGACAGTTTTAGATTTCACTTTATTTTTGCTATGATAACGGGAGGGGGTCGAAACTTTGCTGCCGCTTGCGTGGCAACCTGTTTCTCTTTTGTTGCTTTTTTTTGTAGTGAAAAGTATTTTTCCACACCTGATATTTTTTGAAGCTCGATCCTTTGCGTCAAGAGCGTGAAATGATTTTAAAAATATCGAACGTTATTGTCTAATATAGCCGACGTCAGAGAAAGTGGTCCAATTTAGTTCTGTTTAAATACTCTGGCGAACATTATTCTGTCGTATAAATCTCCCAAACAGATGCTGCACTTCTTGCCTGGCTCTGTCGTGTCTGTGCTGTGTTTACTTGCAGTCTTTACATTTCTTTTTCACATTTTTATCCTTGAGCTCTAGTTCATTTCGTTTGGCTTATTTTAAATTACTTTTCTTCAAATTCGGTTTTTCTTTTTATCCAATCATGTATGTTGTCCGATGCAAGCCAACTAAGACGACCACCTTTGCCGCCTCAAGTCAACAGCAGATCAAGTGCATATTCAGTCTTCTTAAGTCTTGAAGGAAAAGAGGAAATCACACAAACACGAATATAAGCTTCTATGGATTGCTAAAAAAGCATTTTTGGTTTTATTTTGTTGTTTCATTGATTACTTACATTTGAACAGCGGACCAATTGGAGTGGCGTAAATATTATTCCTTATGCTTGCTTTTTTTTTATCTCGATCTCATTTTATAACTCTTACCTCCCTTTAGTGGTGGTGGTGGAAACACTATAAGTGAGCTGCAGTTGATTGCATTATCGATTTGTGTTCACAATTAATGGATGCCCTGCTTTTGCTTTTAAAAGTGTTATTTTTACAGTTATGATCATACCTTATCCATGATTTATGGATCAATTATAGCTGCAGTTGCAAGTTGTTCGTTAGAAAGGTAATTCTATATACTCATAAATTTGGTACTCCCACATTTGTTAGTCGATCAGTTTGGTACTCAATTCAGATATACTCAAACGGTAACGTATTTTTTGTCATCTGTTATGGAAACCACCCGTTAGAATTGGTAGTATTGCCTATAGCACACATATTTGAAAATTGGTATAGACTCGAATACTATAATCTGATATTATCTTTTAAGTATTGGAACTTATTGTAAATGAACAGCGTGAAGGCACTTATTTAGGTCGAGTAGTTTGTTTTGTCATTTTTTTTTTCAGGAAAAAGTGTTAACACTTGTTCGCACTCATATTTGGTTTTTCGCGGTGTCATATTTTTTCAAGTTCGTTTTCATTTGCTGAAAGGAAGCTTAATTACTCTCTCCAATTTTGAAAGAGCTAATGGTCGCAAATAATTGTTAATAACGTCCGAAGTGGATTTTTGATTTTTGGTTTTCTGGCGGAATAAAAAAGCATATATTGACTGTGTTTTCCCTAATTGGGTTAGGTTTAAGTATCATGATCGTATAAGACTCTTCTCGTAAAGTTTCAACGAGCTTTATGTATTTTTCCTTCTTATGTTCCAAAAAACTCCAACTGCTTTTTTTTCGCTGTCCTGGAGTTCATTGACACTTCTTCAACCTTCTGAATACTAAACAGGTTGGTAATTTGATTTTAATTGATACAACTATTCTACTTTTGAAGACTGGTCTATAAAAGTAATTAAGCGGACTGTAGTTGTGAAGCCAATTTCAAATATATATTCAATCACATTTTTTTTGTTTTTATCAATGATGAAAAGTTTTAGAGAGATTTTTTGCCCACATTTTAGGCTTTTATGTGCTAAAAAACTCATTTCTTTGACCAAGCGTTCAAAACGCAGGTAGTAAGAAACAATTCTACATTTTGTTTATTATGAAATAAATATAAACTTTTTCCCGTTAAAAACTTCCCGTTCGATTTTTCCCCGTTAAAAGCTTTGTTCACTGATTTCATCAGTTTTTTATTGGAGTCAAGAAGTTCCTGTCACTACTTATGCCTGCTTAGTGTAGAGTCAACGCGAATGCTTCTGCTCGAGTTTGGTAAGGAGCCTTACTTTTTGGAAATTAGTGATTTTCTGCCTAGATTATATTAGTTGTCGGGCTATCGTTTGTCTGCTTATTTTTGTCGACTGACATTCCACTGTGTGGACTTCTCTTCTGATCTGAGCAATTTTTTTCCTTTAATGGTGCAGGTAATTGAGTTCCATGAACTTTTTGATAAATTTAGGTCAGTTTTTTCTATGATGCAAGAGTTATTACCCTTGCGATAAGCAAGGGTATTGCAACCGGGTACTATACTTTTTTCTCGTAAACAACTGGAACTCATCTGGACGCCTGAACTCATCTCTAACTTGTTTCATAATGTATTCAAATTTCTCAATTAAAATCTATATTCAAACTTAGCCTGGAGTTAACGAATATGCCTGGGACGGCAAAGGTCCTGGGTCTGAATCTGACCAGGAACTGTTTTTTTTTTCAAACTGGAAATATTCTGTTTCAAATAAAAATATCGGCAAAGCATTTGTTTACTTGTCTGTTATTGGGTTATTTGTCATATCTTGGATTTTTTTCTGCGCGAATTTTTCTTCAATTTTGTTTTAAGGGTTTGATTTACGCCTACATTTTGTAATTTTACTTGCCTTGACTTTGCTTATTTTTCATCGACTTAATGACATATTACCGTTTCAAGATGAACATAATTTAGCCCTCCCCTCCGCACTCTTCAAGTTGGTTGGTTTTCCCAGAAACTTCTGATTTTCAACAAAGGGGTATCCACTGAAAGAACGCTTACTCCTCTGTGTGCATGCGTAATACCCTAGAGTCTTTTTAAAAGTAATGAATGTAGTGAGTACTCTTATATAGGTGTTGCTGATTTTTTTAGTTTTTTTTTTTTCAGGAAAGTCTTAAAATTTGTTCTCGCTCAATTTTAAATTTTCGCGGTTTGAATTGTGATTTTTTTTCAAGTTCAGTGCATTCCCATTGTTATAAGGAAGTCAAACTCTACTATCGAACAGAAAAAGTGTAAAGGTCACGAAAAACGTGATTCGAAAATGGAAATTAATTGTCAGATTTCCCAGCGTAATAAAAGATTTACCTATTGATCCAGTTTTCTCAAATTGGGTTAATTTTAACAGAAAAGTGTCCACCATAAATTGTTTTTTCATCAGTTTTTTCTCAGTTTCCCTGCGTTCATTACTCTTTTCCAACTGTCAGTTGGCTATGTTTTTACTTGACCCCTCTGTCTACAGCCTTCAAAAAAGTGCGGCTGAATATTTGGACCATATTTTTGATTTTTTGTTTTCTCAAAAAAGGCCCCTCTCAAATGTGAGTTTTTGGTTTCAATAATTTGAACCTTTTTGAAAAACTCCCTTGCATAAGTTGCCTCGACCAGTTTTTTTGCACAAAATTATGGCCTTCGGAATAGTCAAATTTTAGATTTTTGACCATTTTGTGAATCTTTTGACTTTTTTCGAAAATTATTCTCTCACATCCGATATTGTGGGTTCAGTTAGATAACGGGTGGTGGGAAGCTCCTCTGCATTAGCTGACACTAAGAAAAAGTTATCACAAGAAGTTATCGCCCTCTGAAAATTCAAGTTCGACCATTCAAAAAACATTTTTCAAAATATTCTCGAAAACTACCCTGCCATACCTGAGTTTTTAAGTTCACTTCTCAGAACGGGTTGGGGAAGCTCTTTTGATTATGCGAATATGCCAAAAAAAATTACTTCAAAAGTGTTGGCCCTCGAGAAAGTAAAAACATTGCTTTTGTGACCGTTTTTTGAGTTTTGATTTTTGCGACCGTTTTTTGGACTTTTCTCGCTTTTATAATGTTTATGTTGCATTGCAATTGGCGCGAAGCTCCGCTTTGCCTATGTGAAATATTTTTTTGGCATTTTTATGTTTTTTTATTCTTTATTAAAAGTAAGCAATGAATGAAGCGTTGTCTGAAGTTATCTGAAATTATGATTTTTTCTGATAGCAATTTTTTTAAATCAGATTTTTCCAAATGAGCTTTCGTGATTTATTCGAGAGTAATAGAGAATAGACTGATTGTTTTCAGCCGTTTCAAACCTGAAGTTTTTCTAAACCTAGGCCAAATCTTGCTTTTGTTCTATCATTTAACTCAGCATATTTTTTGTGATTCCTCTGTGCTGAAGTAAATTTTTTTCAACGCGTCGCAACTAAACTTGATTATGGCTCTGTCTAGCATCACTTTTTGCGTCACAGCATGAAAATTAACAAATAAATCTGCTTTCGAAAGTCTTTGAAAATTTTGATTAGAGCCCCCTTATTTGAGAGTAATTTACGACTTAATAGATGGACAGTGACCGATTTTGCCGGTATAATTTGAAAATACCTCTATAATAGCTCGGTAACGCCGTCACTATATACATTAATTATGCAGCTATAATACTGTTCAAATGAGCTCTTGCTCAGACTGATCAAATTCTGGCTGCTTGTGCTCTCTTTTTGAGATTTTTTGTTCTTCTTTTGACTTTGTGAGCTGAAGTTGCAGCAATCATGATATACGCAAAAAATCCAGAGAAAAAGAATAAGATGGTCGAGTGTTTGAACAAATTTGTACACGCAGTCCTTTTGTTATGAGCACATCTACTCTAAAGTTACCAAGAGCAGTTAAAACACAGCGTGGCTTCTAAACTACGTAAGCAGCTGAGCCATCAACAATAACAGCATCTGTTGAAAAAAGAGACGCCGCCTCATCGCATTTTAACGTCAACATAGAACATCATTAAACTAAAATTGGAGCAGTTGCCGAAGCACCAAACGACGTATGAAGACAAATCTAACCAGAATCGTATGATCATATTATCGACTTGTTTTTGAAATTATATGATTGAGTGGCGCAGTTTGAAGATCTTTATTCTGATAGCATTGGATCTTACCTGTTAGTATTTAGTTTTCTTTAATTTTTTCAAAGTCTTTGTTTTGTTTATTTGTGCTGTTTATCTGAGGTAATTTTGGTTGTATCTTTTTACCCTTGCGATAAGCAAGGGTATTGCAATCGAGTACAAGAATTTTTTCACTTAAATAACTTTTCACTGAACTCATCTGGACTCCTGTTGGTACCTTGGCTCATAGTGATTTCAATTTTCTTAGTGTCTCCTGCACTCTGAGTCTGGAGGTAACAAATACGCGTGGGACGGCAAATATCCTGGGTTCGAATATGACTAGGACTTGTTTTTTTCAAACAGAAGTTTTCTGTTGCAAATAAAATTGTTGGTTTAATATTTGTATGCTCATGTTTTGTCGACTTAGTTACCACATCTAAGAATCGCTTATTTTTGCTGTAAACATTTTTCATTGATGTTGCTTTCAGTGTTTTAGCATTTTAATTATTTTGACATTAATTTTTGTCATCAATGACATTGTTTGTCAGCTGATTTTTGTCGGCTTAATTCCGCTGAAAGGACTTTTTTTAGTGTTAGGCTTTTCTCTTTCCATCCAAAAGCTGCTTGTATAGTTTCCAATAGTAGAGTTAATGTTTTTTTTTTATTTTGGGCTTTTGTAGCAATTTTTAATTTGGAAAAAAAATTCAAAAAACGTTCAATTTGTTTTCGTTTGATTTTAATCATAGTCATTTTTTTGTATCGCAAAGGTGCGAAGCTCGACTTCGCCTCTGTGTTAACATCTGCTGTTATCTGAAGCCAGTGCACTGGGTTTGTACCCTTTGCACATCGCATAAAGCACATTCAGTAGGCCAGCTCACTGCGTTTGAAAAAAGCTTGAGTAATTTCTTGAGGTGGCATTTTTTTGCTGTGGGAAAGAAAGCGTTCAATGAGTTGGAAGCCAATTATTTTTGTTTATTTTAAATTTTGTCCGTGTTCTGCTATAGTTTTCCCGCGCAAACTCAAGCACATAATTATATATCAGAAAGGGTCGATTGATTCAATTGAAATTTAAAATTCTCAAAAAGTTTTCAGTTTTAATTTGGATGAAAAAAACCAACAAAAAGCAGTTTTTTAAAGCTGCAAAAACTAAATTTCATCTTTCAAAATTAGTTTTTGAAGCTTACTGTAGCGTTTTCTCAGCTTGAAAAGTTGAAACATTTCTAAAAAAAAAATAACCGAAATAAGTTGAAGACATCGCTTTAGATTATTAGTCAATTTTTTTTTTCGTTTTTGGAAACATTTACAGAAAACTGTAGTCAGTTACAAGGATTATTAATGCTTTCAAGCTTATTTTTTGGCAGACTTTTTGCAATTAACATGCTCAACCTAATTGCCAAATTTTTCTCAAGTAGCATTTTTTTGAAAGTTTTTTAATAGTATCATGTCAATGAACGTAACGAAAACACTTATGGAAGGACGTGATGTTTTTTCTGTGTTGTTTTACACAAAAAAGTCGATGAAACTTTTTACGCTTAAATTTGATTTTTCGAGGTTCAAACTTCATATCCCTTTTCAATTTACTCTAGTCCAATTATGAAGCCAAAACACTCCAATTATGAAGGCCAAAACACTCCAATTATGAAAATGGAAAGTGCGCGAAGAATTTTGAATGACTTGAGTTTGAAAGGTTAATGTTATGGTTTTTTTTGTAGCAATGCTATCTTTCATTGTGTAACAATTGGAGCTTGGCTGATGGCCATGGTTCAATTCACTGAGTCGTTCAAGATTATTAGCCAAAAAATTCTTTTTTTATTTTAGATTTTGCAAAGATAAACATAGTCAACCAAAATTTTTGCTATTCTTTTAAACATAGTTTTTGACACACTCTCTTCTCAAACTAAAAAAAAATACATCCAGGCCATTAGAGTAAATATTGACCGATTAGATAATAAGCAGATGAGTTTTCAAGACTGAAAAAATCGTACGAACTTGAACTCATAAATTTTGATGTTTATCTTAATAGTATTGCGGTTGTAACCCGCAAGTTGTAATTTTTTTGATTATTTTCCTTTGATTTAATACATTTTCTGTTAATATTGACTTTGATTTTGTGAGAAAGGCATTTAGCCAATAGGAACGCTTAGCGGTTTTGATTGATTGAATTTTTCAAGCATTCGGTCCGTCAAGCATGAGAACCCTCCCACTTCTATGGTGTTGAGTTTTAAATTGGAGCTAGCAGTTACTTGTACACGGTATGCATTACGCTTTTTCGCTTAAATAGAAAATTTGATTTCGCGTATATTAACATCTGACATCTGATTATCAATCAAATCTACAATTAAATGCGTCAAATTTTAATGGTAATTTCGCCGGGCAGATCAAGTTTGGCTGAAGGCCGTAGTTCGTTTCACCTAGTCGCTTAAGGTAATTAGACAAACCATTTTTTTTTTTTTTTTGTAAGAATTTGCGATGAAAACCCTAGTCAACTGAAAAGCTTTTTAATGCTTTGATTATTGCAGCTCATTTGCCACCAATTTTTCCCCACTCATTGTTAACTTAACATGCTCAAAAATTTTCTAAAGTAGCTTTTTTTTTATAGTTCTTCGTAATTGTCATGTCAATGAACAAAGGAAAACACTTATAGCAAGACGTTTTTTTTCTAATTTGTTTCACACGAAAAAGTCTATAAAATTTTCTGCGCTTAAGTTTGATTTTTCATGGTCAAATTTTTCAAAGTACAAATCTCGAAGTATATTTTGATGGTTGGATTTCATAGAGATTATGCAAATAGGTGTTGATCAAAGTTTTCCGAATGCGTTTGTTCTTTAAAAAAGCACATTATCTAACTCTTACGTTGTGTTTCATTACAAGCTTTGAAAAAATTTTCCTCATTTTTTGATATTTTTATGAAAAGCAATATTAGTACGTTAGCTTAGGTTTATGTTGTGGGTCTCTCTACATTGGTGTAGATCGGTTTTTAGAGCAACGCCACCTTCCATTGTGTTTAAGTATTAAATTGGAGTTCTCGTTTAATTATACATATACACTGTATGCAAAACAATTTCGCCCTCATAAGTTAAAGTATTTGCTTTTGCGTAAATGACCACCTGAATTTTTTTTAAGACAACAACTAAATGTGTCAAGACTTAAAGATGAATTCGCCATTAAGTTCAACTTTTGCTGATGGCCGTGGTTCGATTCACTGAGTCGCGTAAGGTTATAAGTAAAAAAAATGTTTTTATTTTCGTTTTTATAGGTTTTGCAAAGATAACCATAGTCAAATAAAAGGCTTACTAATGCTTTCAAACTTAGTTTTTCAACTCATTTTTTGCTTTCTACGCTCAAACTGATTGGCAAGTTTTTCTAAAATAATTTTTTCTTCTAATTTTTCTGCAAGTGTCCACGAATGTGATGATAACACTTATAGCAGGTCGTTTTTTGTTCTACCTAGTAGGTCAAAACACAATTATGAAATGGGAAATGCGCAAAGAAATGTGACTGACTTGAGTTCAAAACCGTATGATGATCTTCAGATTTCCCAGCGAAATATAAAAGTTAGCTATTGATCTAGTTTTTTGAATTGTTCATCTTATAAGAGAAGTGCGCTATGTCTAATCCTTAAATATTTTTTTATCGATACAAGCTTTAAAATATTTTTCTCAGATCGTTTATATTATCAACAAAAAAGCGTGATAGAAGGCGGTTCTTTTTGGCATGATCATATAAGTACTCGTTCTTCGATTTTCGGCTCCTGCTGCTTCTTACCAAATGCACCCAGAAGAAGCAGCTTGGACTAAACATTTTGTCTGAAAAACAAGTAGTTTCGATCGATTGCGTGGACATTGCGAAAAAATTACCGGGACATTTTTGAATAAATTAGATGAAACTGATTCCTTTATGATCTTTTAAAAATAAAAAAAAAGTAAAATGTCTGGAATTAGGCTTAAATTTATCAAGTTATCCAGGAAAAATAATGGAAAAATTGTAATTTCAATACTTTTTTCGTCAGTTTTCGTTTTTCTAATTAAAAAAACATATCGGTTTATTCTCTATTAGTTTTTGTTGCCGTAATAGCTTTTTATCTGGTTTATTTCTGCTTGGTTTATTGGTGGCTAGTGTTAAGTCGTCATGGCGCAGGTTCTAGGACGTGTGACTCTCGTTCGATTCCAGCTCATAACAAATTTCACCTTTTTTTTCCTATTTTCAGTTTTCGAACTTTTCAGAGCTCGTTTTTGTCGTTTTCTGGTTTTCATTAAGCCAAGTATTTCACCTAAAGGAAAATTTTGTTTTAAATTTTTAAGCTGGGCTTGCGAAGTGCAATTTCACCTCAGTGTGATGTTTTTTGTCAAGGGTTTTTGGTTAAGATTCAGCGTTGAGTTATTTTTCATGGCCCTGGTACGAAAAGTTTTGTCTGGGCTTTAAGGAAGCCCAACGGTTTCGACGGTTGAATTGTCCAACTGTTTCTTTACATGATAGCACTGCTGTAAACACGAGGTTCTAGTGTTACAGCTATGAATAACGAAAATAGAACCAACTGAATTTAGCGCTCCATATCTACATTGAGGCTTAATAGTCAAAGCTCTTTGAATTTTTCCGTGCTTGATTATAATGAAGTATCAGGTTTTTCTTATCTTTTTCCATTATAATGGGCTTTTCTTCACAATTTATTCATGCCACTTTCTGGAAAAAGTGTCTTCTCTTTTTTGTCACAAGTTCACTGTTGTTAGGCATAATATTTAGTGAACATCTATGTTTGAGTTTGTTTGTAGAATTTTGTTATATGTGTGTGTTTTCTTTCTCGGAATGGAGCCAACTGCCTTTAAACGGACGTTCTTTGATTTTTGTTTGACCGTTCAATTTATGTTTACACGATCAACTTTTGCGATTAAAGAACATATCTTTACCGAGATCAGCGGTGTCTTCTTATGACGGCTTAAATTTTAATGAATTTCAAAAGCTATTATTTTGAGACTGCGCCCTATGTATTTTGGCTGTTGTGTTTGTAATTATGAAGGCTGTGCGAAATTTTTTAAAATGATCCCAAAGTCGCCTGGGTCAAAAATTTTTATGTTCATATTTCATTGTTTTGATAAAAGGCCTGTGTAGGTGTTTGGCAGGGTAATGTAGTTTCCTATGCACTTGGAGCTAGATCCTTCAGGGTCCTTGGTGACATTATGGAATTACAATTAATTTGGCGAAATAAGCTTAAAATAGCATGAAAAAAAAGAAATTGTACAGAAGGTATAGTATGATGGGGTTGAAATTACAAATGACGAAGGAAAATTAAAGCTAAAATGATAGAATCTAAAAAACGGACAAAAAGCTCCAGGTTTCCCTGAATTTTATTCTAAATAGACATAGTTTTGGTTTGTTGTTTAGACCAACGGGGCTGAGTGTGATTACAACCGTTGAACCTCAAACAAGGGAGCTCATCTTGCTAGTTGAGTTCATGCCAGTAGTTGGACATCAGGAATAAAATATACTAGCCAATAGATCATTCCCACAGTTGGAAGCGGAAAAAAACTAACGAACTTAAGTGTGTTGACAATATTCCGCACATTAATCTTAGACTGCATTTTGAAAAGAAGGAAAGGAAAATTATTGCCATTTTTTCTGTTTCCGCCGTTGTTGATTAGTACAGTCGATTATCCAATCAAGTAAACAACACGGAAATCTCCGCGCAGTAGCAGAAACATCATTAATTATGTACACCACACCTGGTCTTCATTACCACATACGCATGCGCTATGGCCTCGTTTGCCTCTGAGAAAAATTGATTTTGCCGAAAAGAAGAAATAAAAACCTAGACAAGCAGAGCTGCTCTTCGAACGACTTGAGTGCTTTTGCTAGTAAAAGACGAATCAGATCTGAAAGAAGAAGTGTCGAAAACTTGCCGCAAATAAAAGAAAATTAGCAATTTTGAATTAAGGCCACATTGTGTGGGATATTTGGAAGTGCTGTTCATTCTTCAGCGCCAGATCTGTTGTTCAAACTTGCGAGCTTTTCTCTTGGGTCCTAAATATTGCGTGGATTTTTTTAAATTAGTGGATTCTGTTCATTTAGTTGCTGCTCGGTGAAAACCGCGAACCTTTAAATAGCATCTCCATTTTTGGCAAAATTAACTGGCCTGATCTCCGATTTTCAGCCAGGTCGTAACTTCAAATTTGAGATTGGATTCAATTTTGCACATACGACCGCGTAGACTGGACTCTTTTAAATCATGCGGTATCTGAGCTTATCGCGGGCGGGGCTTCTGGCCGGGGATTCTTATCGAGGTTGTAGGCAGAGGAGTATCCTAAAACCGACAGAGTTCAGCTCTGATTCCCAAGAAGAAGATGCTTTGTCCTCATCGCAAGTGATCTCGACCAACAGCGACCTAAATATGACAGACTCATTTGGTGTCTCTCAGTTTGTAGAAACGAGACGAAACGCTGGATCTTCGGATGTTTGGGAAGATTCGGCATCTGCATCTGTGAGTAATGACAGTGAATCTTTAAACCATACAAGTCACTCCTCGGAGGTAGTGTCCAATAGTTACAATAATAATATCTGTCATTCACGACAGCAGAACTGCCAAAAGAACAATGCCAACCTCAGCTCCAGCAACGAAATCAACAGCAACAGCTGCAATATAAGTGAAGACAACAATGGTAACGAAAGAAAAAGCACGATCTGTAAGAAAAAGGGAAAGAGAGGGCTCAGGCGAAGAGGAGTAAGAGCTAGACTGTTGTATGGAGGAGATGGCACGAGACACAGTGTGCGTTTCAGCATCTATATCAGTGTGATATTTGCACTGAGTGTATTCTGTAGCCGAATGTACAGAAACTACTTGCATTATGACTCAATTTTGCCCTCTCAATCTACTAATAGTTTTTACACCCCACAGCAACGAGAGTATAATCACAACGATAAAACAGGGTATCACGAGGAACTCGAAACATCGCTAGAAGTACTTGAAAAGTCCTCTTTTCTGTCGACCAACCTCTTTTCATCCATCCAGTCGCCCGCGGGGCTGTCTGCAGCTGGCAGTAGACAAGTCAGATCTACTACGAACGACGATTGTCCGAGCCAGGCAGCTTGGGAACGGCGGTAAGCCTATTTTTACTGTTTCTGTTCTAACATCTAAAAATATTTATCGATGTATAATTTATTTCAATGACGTTATTCAAGAAGTTTCTGTTTTTTTTTCACAGGCGAGCTTGCGAGTCTACTTATTCTTGCAATGATTCAGTCAGAAAATGTCTAGTTCTTCAACCGTTTTGGCACCTCTTGATGCGAAGATTTTTGGACGGTTTTTTCGTTAATTGCACAGGATAGAATTGTAGCTATAGCTTTATCAAAGCGCAGTCTTTGCTTCGTGGTATCTAAGAAAAAGGGATACATGAAAATAGAGTTCCGGGATAGAATTTCTTTAGTATAGCTCAACTTTTTTGATGATTTCAGTATTTACCTGCATTTTTCTGACCATTTTTGTCGTCGTGTTTGCTATTTGCAATTTCGTTTTCACTAATTGATATTTTTGAACTGTGTGAAATGTTGCCATTACTAATGTGAAGTTACGTTCAGAGTGTTCTATTTTACGATCATTAAGAGTCGGGGAACTCTTCGAATTGGGTTATTTTTATCTAAATCTGCCAATCTTAAATTGTTCTTGAAGATCAAAGAGCATTAAGGGCAGCTTGTGCTGTCGATTGTTGATTTGCGACGATTTTTCTTTCACATTTGTTTAATTGGAAAAGTTATACGAAAAAGGCTTATTGTTTGCAGAAAAATCAAATTTTTATTTAAACCACTTGATGTAAATATATGAAAACGTTTAAGTTAATGTAGTTTGGTATAAGATTCCTGGAAGCTTAGACATAATTTTGAAATAATTCCCTGCACAATCAGGTAGCGCAACTTGCCAGAACGGTTCGAGTGATACATCATATCAAAGACTTTTCAGTCGTGATTCCATTGAAACTAAAATTTTCACAAAAGCTCGTTTGGAAATTTCGCTTTGTCCTATTTCAAGCAAGTATGTGTAATAAAATTTAGTTTTTTTTCCTTTACAACTAATTTTCGAAGTTTAATTTAGCGTTTCCTTGGCAATGAATTTTTTTTTTTCAATTCTTCAATGAAAAAAAATCTTTGAAATTTTTTTTTCTGTATAATGATTGAAGAATTTGTGATTATTTCTGTGAGTTTATTGTTTTGTTTTTACTTTTCTAGCAAAAACTTTAGTGTAATGCACCTAGTTAATAATTTTTTCAAAGTTAGAATACAAAGTTACTCCCCATTTTCAATGGTCGGAACAAAAACATAGCTTGTTTCTGTTCATCATTTTCTGTAACGTTTCTCTCATCATCATATGATGGTGCGAAACCAAAATTATAGAGGATCTTGGCAATGATTACAATTCCTTCTGTTATTTCAAATAAGGTGACTTCAAAGTTGAGTAGTTTGAATTTGACCTGTCTTAGCATTTTTCTATTAATTTCATTATTTTAAAGAAAACTCTTTTTTGCTTTACGTTTCTCTTTTATTGCCGTTTCTGTAAATTGCTTAAAGTATTAGTTTTTTCTCACTTAAAAACTCAATGGATCGGAGTCATTAATAATGTTGTCGGGGAAATTATTCGAGTTAAATGTTTTTGCTCGAAAACTGATCAAATTTTTATTAGATTTTCTTTTCTCTTTTTTTTGTCTTCTTTGAATTCCCAACAGTCTTCTTTGGGCAGTTTAATATATCCCTTCAATTCAAGTTTAATATGTCCCTTCTGTTTTTCATATCAAATTATTTCGTATATTATTTTCTTTTTTGTTGCTCTTTCTATACGAGAGCAAGTGTACTTGTAAACGGGAACTAGAATTTTTCTCTCACAAGACCTTTCTCTCTAATGTATCAGAAATTGAATTTGCTCTATCGTGGAACCTCAACATTTTTAGGCCACTTCTCAATTCGACTACGGGTAAAGCACGAGCCTTCGGAACAATAGGTCTGAAATTTGAGTCTCGTCCGGACATTGTTTCCTTTTCAATATGAAAAGAATATGATTTTTTTTGGCAAAAAAATAATGTTTGCTTACTTTTTTATTCTTACTTTCGAAAGCGTGGACTTTTTTCAAAGCATCCTTTTTTGGTTGTCGTTTTTTAATTTGTAAGTATATTTACTATGATTTTTTCTGTTGTCTTTGTTTTTTTTCGTTGTTTTCGCTTATAAAGATTCGGCTCATGCTATATCGACTGGCTTAAGAAATTTAAAAGCGAAAGTTTTCTGTGGCTACAAATTATTTTCGGCGCAAGTGGTGTCTACCTAAATTTGGACAGCTAGAGGCCACTCCGTAAATGTTTTTGAATGCTTATCCATACGGCGATGATTGTGTTTTCCAACATGTTATCCTAAAATTGACCATCATTCAAGACGGCCGTGGCCAAGTTGGTTAGTTATGCGTTTCTAAATTTGAGGATTGTGGATTCGAACCTCACTTAGTTCACGGTCGGAACTCGACTATCGAACAGCAAAAGCGTAAAGGTCACGAAAAGAGTGAGCTAATTCAGGTTTCCAAAGTGGATATAATTTCCCTGCGGAGTACAAAGTGGAGTTCCCTGCTGAATAAAAAGTCACTTATTGATCCAGCTTTATCAAATTGGGTTAATTCTATCAAAAAAACTTCCAAGATTAAATTGTTTTTGAAATTTAAAAGGCATATTCTGTTTTCTGAAATTTTAAACAAGTTAGGTTTTCAGTATGTTTTCTGTTTCCATTGTCTATGTGGCTATGTTTTAATTCTGGCGATTTTGTATCTAGACGTGTTTTTCCTCAAAACGAACATCCTTGCGGGCAAAAATTTTGTAGTTCTGTTTTTTCGAATTTTTCGCTGGTATTTGAAAGTTAACTTTTCTCCAGCTGTAACTCTTTGTTCTGGATTGCTTTTTTAAATTGAGCTGCATACTTATAAGTTGATCCCCCAGTATAATTTTTTGTAGCTAAAATTTTTTCTAACCTAACTTAATTTCCATGATGATCAAGTGTCAATTAATGTAGTGAATGCACTTAAATAGGCGGGGTTAATTTTTGTTCCGACTCGTTTTGACTCGTTTTAATGTTATTTCTTTCTTCTCAAAAGCTACCTTGATAAATCTGAGATGAACGGTTCAATCGAAAGAGCGTCCTCCAGAATTCTCTCCTTCATGAGCTGCTTTGCCCTAATTATGGTAGAATCACAGTTTTTGCTTTAGAAATTGTCCCAATTTTGGAATAATGACCGTTTTTTCGGAAACTATTTTTTTACGAAATAACCCAGCCAAATCTGGTGTCAAAGATTCGATTGCCAGAACAGATTTGTTGATTTTTGCTGCATAACTAATGTTGCCCTAATTTTTTTAATTGGAAAATTTGCCCATAAAAATGTAGATCGTTAAAACGGAATAAAAGGTAAAATACTGAGTTTAACCCACCGGCAAACACATGTACAAACTGAAATAAAAACAAAAGCATTAACCAGCATTAAGAATGATTCAAACAATTTACCTCTCACTTTATTATATAAGAATTACAAATTACCACCTGAATTACAGCAGCATGGCAGTGTTGAGCAAGCGTTGCAACAGCCGAGAACTGAATATATTAACAAACTGCAAACAGCACGAATTGTTAAGGCGATTAATTAGGAGCGCTATTAAACGATCACTGTAAGGCTGAAATGAATATAGTAACAAGACGAAATAGCACAAACTGAACGTATAAGTGCGATCAACCTCTCAAGACCTTTCTAAAATGAAACAGTGCAGATTTTTTGTAAAAGTGAAAAGGAAACTCCAGATTTTGTCAGCATATCGGCTAACAAATCGATCTAACCATGTGTCTTCAACGAATGCGCAGAGCGGCATTTATCGTAAAAAAAAGACGAGACTCGCAAAACGCCAGCAGGCGATCGTAGCACAAACATGCGTTGAGTCAACGGCACTGTTCGACGCCGCGGTACGCCCATGGTATAAATCAGAAATAAACAAATTACAAAGAGAAATTGACAGATTATACCGATATATATGGGCCAGTAAAGACAAACACCCAATTAAAGAAATGCAGGAGAAGAGTATAAATATGTTTGGAGTCAGGAAACAATTGACCATTGATAGTATGGAACTGAAGATTGAGAAACGGGATTTAATCAGAATTGGACACATACTTAGAATGGACAACAACAGGTTAACTAAGCAATTGGTATTGGGTTGGCCAGCTCCAGAAATTTCGGACCAGCACAGAAAAGCTAGACAAACCACTATTGGACACTGGAGGACACTGCTGAGAAATGCAGGCCAATACCCGGATACCATCGAAAGCTTAGCATTAAACCGGAGGAAATACAAGAAGTTCATTGAAGAGAGAGTGAGAAGAATAAGAATGTGGGAGCACAAAAAAGCAGATAAAGAGAACACAGAAAGGAAACAAACAGCAGAAATAAATACATCCACAACATGCTCAATATGTGGACGAATATGTAAGAGCCTAATGGGCCTGAAAATAAATGTTACAAGGATGCATAGAAAGGATCGGGACGAAAAACAAACCTGTGAAAGATGCAAAAAGACGGTAGCAACAAAATCGGCCCTTACAAATCATAAGAGAAAATGCATGACCACCCCCGCGACAAATCGACGACCCGAAGAGAAGAAAAACTGCCCCATGTGCGCAGTCTCAATATCGAAGACAAACCTGGCAAGACATATTCGGACGATCCATGGCATGCCCTAACAGGGTCAAGAAGCCGGACCAAGACCAAGACCAAGCATATCGGCAAGTTGGCTTCTTGTTGATATCCAGAGAACTTCAAAATTGTCTTCTGCCAATTTTTTTTACGGATTAAATTTTTTTCCTAGCGCAATCTCTTCTCAGTCCCATCTATTCTTGGTTTTAAAGCAACAAATACATCATTGTTGTCAACTTAACAAACTATGGGAAATTCTGATTGAATTTTTCTGGTTAAGATGTTGGATAAAAGCTGTCTAATGAATAAGGCTGTGTCCAAACCTTCCACCAAGGCCAATGTTTTGCTGTTGGTGCTTTTAACCCTCTTTTCAGACGTTTGGAGGACCACTTTTTGGAGC